TCGTGGGCCACGACGGGACCGCGATAGACCGTAGGGGTGTGGATGCACTGGTGCCTCTTCATCGTGCTTTGGCCAGCGTTCCACTCGAGCGAGTTGCGTCCGCCCGTCAGTCCACGCGCGGCCTGCCCGCGTGTTGGAGCACCCGCCGTGGTTCGCTTGTGCGACTCATGCACAGGGGAACTGGGTCTTCGCCGCCCCCACGTGCCATCCCACTCCCGCGCACGCCCCTCAAGGGCACTTCTCGCCCGCACACGCAAACCACTTGTGCAGCCGTTCGTGGAGTGCGTGGCGAACCGCCGTGGGCGTGCGCTTGACGACGTTGGCGGTCATCCACGGGTCACTCGCCGCGTCGTACATCTCGTAGAAGTCGGGCCGCGCGAAGTCGATGTCCGCCGTCGACTGCTCGCCCGTTGCAAACTCGGCGTACAGCACGTCGGCCTCGCCCGCGCCCGGCGCATCGGCCATCGTGCGCAGCGCGATGAAATTGTTGGCGGTCGACTCTGTCGGGTAGCACTGTGCATTGCACTGTGGCGGCCCCCAGCAGCCTGCATTGTGCCTCAGGTCGACGCAGGCCGCGTCTTTCTGCGGGTACTCGCCCGGCGTCGTGCAGTTGTCGATGCACTTGTCGTTGTCCGCTACGTAGTAGTACTCGATGAAGACCTCGCGTCGCCAGCCAGCCGCGTAGGCCGACACAGGGCCGAGCGCATCGAGGTGGCGCACCACGGCGGGCGCGAGCGTCCGGCGTATGGCCGCGTCGTCTGGAGAACCTGCTGTCGGCGCCGCCGCCGCGCCCGATGCGTTGAGTGCGCGGCCGGCGGCGAGCAGCGGCGGTGGGATCGAGCGGTGGGATCGAGCGGCCGACATAGGATCGAGAGGTGGGATCGAGCGGCCGGCGGCGAGCAGCAGCGGTAAGATCGAGCGGCCATCGTACCGCGCAGCCTTCGTCACGCCGGCGAGACCGAGCCACGTGGCGGCAAGGTCGACGGTCGTCGCCGGCTGCGCCATCTGTGCGCCAGGCACGAGCCCGGGCCCACGCACGAGCAGGTGCACGCGCGTGTCCCAGTCGTACACGTGCCGCTTGTCCATCAGCATGTTGTCCTCTCCGAGCTGGAAGCCGTGGTCACTCGTGTAGAAGACGTAGGTGCGCTCGAGGAGGCCGAGGGCGTCGCACTTGGCAAGGACGTCGCCGATCACATCATCCACCGAGAGCAGCGTGCGCCAGCGGTTCTTGTACACGCCGGTGATCACGCGTGCCGCCTCCTCCGAGAGGAGAGGCTGCGTGGCGATGTTGCCGTGCTTGTCGGCGCGCGCGGCGGCAGAGGAGTTGTACGCAGGCGGTCGCGGCTCGTGGACGGGCCACGAGGGCTCCCAGTGGTCGAGGTACCATGGTGCTGGGATGAACGGCTCGTGCGCCGCCTTGGGCGCGATGTACGCGAAGAAAGGCGCGCGCGGCCTCGTCGCCGTCACGTGCTCTATCCACGCGCTGGAGACATTGCCCACGACGGCGGTCGTGTAGTCGGTGACGTTGAAGGAGACGTTGCCGTCCGGGATGCCGGCGAAAGCGAGGCCGCGCGCGCCGAACTGCGGCGCTATGTACTCCCCCCCGCCGTTGGCCATCCACGCGTCGAAGCCATCGGGCGGCTGGGAGAAGTCGTCATATGGTACAGAGTTGAGGTACTTACCAAAGAGGCCGACGGTGTAGCCGGCGTCGCGAAGGTCGGCGGCGAAGGTGCGCTGGTCGACCTTGGTGACGTTGACATGCATGCACACGGCACCCTTCGGCGGCAGCGGCGGCGTCGTCACCGGCTGCGCTTTGATGTTGTGCAGGTAGCGGCCTGAGACGATCTCGGCGCGGCTCGGGCAGCAGATTGGCGTGTGGACAAAAAAATTGGTGGCCGTGACGCCCTTGTCGGCAAGCTCGGTCTGTGTCCGCCGCATCGGCGTCACTGCAAGCAGCACGGGCGCCAACGACCTGCGGTGAGTGGACGGCGTGCCGCGTGGGATGGCGGGGTGCGCATACCGCCGTCGAGAGGAGGGAAGGAGCCGCCGAGCATTTGGTCTTGATCATCGGTGAGGAAGAATATGATGTTCGGCTTCTCGGGTGGCGGTTGAGCCAGTATCATGCCCGCGGCGATGGTGAGCGACGCGACCAGCGGCGCCATCGACGGAGCAGCTCAATCACTTCGGAGAGGACTGGGCCGACGGTCAATCAGAGGCACTTTGTCAGAGGAGTGGTCCTGCTCTTTATGTACTATTGAGGTACGGTCGCTGCGCCTGCTGAGTGCTGACTCGTGCAGGTGTGAGGCCGCTGGTGCCCCCACCGTCCCTTGGAGACGACCCCACTGCCCTGGGGCGTCTTGATACGATCAAGGGCGAGCATACGGCGCCCCGGCGCGCGTGCCCACGAAACGGAGGCACAAGGGAGGGGTTTAGCTCAAAAATCGCCCCCAGCTCAGATCCACTGCCCAAGTGGCGCAGATCCTGCCCACCGCACCCCATGCCGACCCTCCTAGCGGGTCGGCGCCAGTTTTCATTAGTTTCTCGTGCGGGTTTGCCGTTAGTGGGATGGACTCTCGAGGGGATGGACTCTCGAGGATAGTGTCAGATGTTGGTATTGAGCGTGGTAAAATTCTTTTTCTCAAAAAACACAAAAACAAAAAAGCGCGTGGGCCGTGGCACGTGAATTTCAATCTACTCTCGTGGCACGGTGGGTGAGGCGGTGCGGGTGAAGCACGCCCAACCTAGCGGATTTGGGTACTTGCCCCGATTGCAAGTGCGTCTGTTCACTGTGTTCACAACTCACGGATGAGAGTAATTTCGCAATCCGGCGTTCCGAATATTGTACCTCGTCAGCAGCGGAAGCGCATTTCAGCCCCCTCCTACGCCTTTGTGAGCTCGAGGGCGAGCGTCGCCCACGGCCTCGCGTCCGCCTTCTCGAGCGTCAGCGCGAGGACCCCGGACTCGAGCGTCCACGCGCACCCATCCGGCACCACCTGTGCATCGCACGGACCAGCTGTGAACAGCCGCCGTTCACCCAACTGGCACCGCGCCGCCGACAAAGCACGCCGCAGCGGAGAGCTCCCGCACCTCCCAATCTCGCCGCATCTCGCCGCATCTCGGCTCATTTCGGCTAAGGCGAGGCCACCGCGTCGAAGAGCTCCGGCAGCTCCACCGCAACCTTTCCGTCGAAGCAGACGCGCAAGGAACGGCCGCGGCCGTACGCCACGCCCACGCGCCTGTTCACGGCTGCAGGTGTGAAGCGACGCTGCCCGCGCCACTCGGCGGCCGGTCGCCACGCCCACGCACTTGGCGGCGCCGCGCCCGGACGGCGCTCCGCGCACGCAGACCTAAAGGCCAGCTGACTGACCTCCCGCGCACACGAGGTGGTGGTGCAGGGGGGGAGGCAGCCCCTCGCGACTCCACGTCTAACGGACAGGGGGCCCACGGCATGAACAGTGCAAGGCCCGGTGCGCGTGGGTGATCAGTGTGTGTGTGTGTGTGTGTGCGTGCGTGCGTGCGTGCGCGCGCGCGCGCGTGTGTGTGTGTGTGTGTGTGTGTGTGTGTGTGTGTGCGCGTGCGTGCGTGTGCACGCGAACCTCGACCTCCTCCTCCGTCTGGCTCCACGCGTAGCTGCCTGCGAGAACCAAAGCGCGTCAGCACACGGCAGCAGAGAGGTGTGGGACGGCGTCTCGTATAGCTGCCGCTGTCGCCGCCCGCAAAGTGGTCGCCGCCGCCGTGTGCCGCCGCCGCCGCCCCGTTCTCCCTCCGCGCCGCGGCCGCCCACGCCGAGTCCGGCGCCAGCTCTTCGAGCCCAAAGTCGACGTTGGCCTCGCCTTGAGAACTCACAACAGCAGCCTCTGGGCCCGGGAGCAGTGAGAGGAGACGCAGTCGACGCGTCGCCCTCGCCTCCGCCGCCGCCCTCGCGCCGCGCGCACCGAGACACGTACACGTCGCCGTGGATCGCCAGCCTACTGATTGGTGACTGAGGACTCACACTGTTGAGTACGGGTCGCCAGGTCGACCGTGCATCGCCCGCCCGCTCAGCCCGGCGGCGAGAGCGAGCGCCTACGGCGGCGCAGGGCTCGTGTGCGCCAGGGGGCGTGTGCGCCAGGAGCGTGTGTGCGCCAGGAAGAGGTCAGCCCTGGTCTGTCCTTGGCGGCGGGCACCTCGGCTCTAGCGTTGCGCGTCGGATATGGGGAGATATGGGGAGATATGGGGAGATATGCACCTCAGCTCTTCGTTGCGCGTCAGACATGGGGAGATATGGGGAGACATGGGGAGACATGGGGAGATATGGGGAGATATGGGGAGATATGCACCTCGGCTCTAGCGTTGCGCGGCCGCGAGCGCAGCGCGCCGACCTAAGGGGAGGTGAGGCGAGGTAAACTTCTCCGCACGCACGAGGTGGTGGGGCAAGGGCCAGGGCTATCCCTCGCGACTCCGCGTCTAGACGACAGGAGCTGGCACGACCTTCAAAGTGCAAGGCCCGGCGCGCGTGGGTGAGCGGTGTGTGTGTGTGTGTTGTGTGTGTGTGTGTGTGTGTGTGTGTTTGTGTGTGTGTGCGTGCGTGTGCGTGTGCGTGTGGTGTGGGTGTGGTGTGGGTGTGGTATGTGTGTGGTGTGCATGGCGTTGCGTGCGTGTGCCGGCCTCGTCGACATAGAGGCGGACGCGACCCATATCTCCCCGTTTCTCCCCGTATCTCCCCATATCTCCCCGTATCTCCCCCTATCTCCCCATATCTCCCCGTATCTCCCCGTATCTCCCCGTATCTCCCCGTATCTCCTCGTCGATGTAGAGGCGGACGCCGACCCAGCCGTTGGCGGCGCTCGGCTGAGCGAGGGGGTACGCCTCGCAGGCGCCGCCGGCAGCCAGCTTCTGCACCTATCGCCGTGTCACGCGACGCTGTCTCTCGAGCCGTGCACTCGAAGCCGGGCGGGGGAGGCACCACGGCGGACTGTACGAGTGTGCGGCGGGAGACGGCTCCAGCACAGCTGAGTCTACGCGTCCTCTCCGAGTGCCACTTCGAGCACACGGATCCCCCGAGCTTCTAGGCTCCTCGCACCGTCTCCGCCGACGGCGCGCGCAACGCCTCCGCAGCGCCGGGCGCGCCACCCGCCACCATGTTGCGCAGGCGGCCCGCCGTCTCGCGCGCGACGGTCGCGTCGTCCATCACGCCGTCGTCGGCGAAGCGCGGCGCCAGCAGGCCGGGGAGCACGTCCCCGCCGCCGGACGGCGCGGCCGCCGACTCGAGCGACACAGCGACCGTCGGCTCGGCCGGAATGCGCACAAAGGTGAAGGCGCGGCCGGCGCCGCCGGCAGCCGGCGGAGGGTGGGACTGACGCTCCTCGGCGAGCTCAACCTCGACGCCGCGGGAGCGGAGGTACGCGAGCCGCTCCGCCTCCGTCCGAGGCGGGTCCTCGTCGTCTGCCGCAGCAGCCACCTGCTGCGGTGCTGGCGCGGCGGCCGCCGCCGGCGAGTCGGAGGTCATGAGGCCAGCCTTCACGAGGACGGCCATCTTCTCGTCGTCTGTGAGGCTGTCGAGATCTCGCCCTTGGAGGAGGTCGTCGAGCATTGGGGGCGGAACGGGTTTTAGGTATGTTGTTGGCAAATCAAGACACAGAGGGTGGTTGCAGCGATGGCGCGGCTACGATGTGTCCGGGTCGAGAAAAAGAATTCGTAGCCGGCCACCGTGTTACACCACCTGGTGGGGGGCACGCAGCCGCACAAGCCCGGCTCGCAGACATCTTGTCCGACGATGACGGCCTGCCACGCCTGCTCCAGCGAGGCCAAGTACCGCTGCCCTGGCTGCGGCACCCAGAGCTGCTCGCTCGCGTGCGTCAAGAAGCACAAGGAGGCGACGCAGTGCTCGGGCAAGCGCGACGTGACCGCCTTCCGCGCCATCGGCGAGTTTGATGACGCGTCCGTGGTGAGCGACTACCACTTTCTCGAGGCGGGGCTCCGCTCCGTCGACAGCGCGGCGCGCACCGCCGCCACGCTCGCTGCTCCCGCCGCCAGAGGCGGCGGCCGCGGTGGAGGAGGTGGTGGAGGCGGAGGCGGCGGCGGCGGCGGCATGCACCCGGCGCGGCGAAAATTGCGTGATGCGGCGGCGCACCGCGGCATCCGGCTGGAGCTTCTGCCCGCGGGAATGCAGCGCGCGCGCGAAAACAGCTCGAGCTACGACGCGCGGCGCAAGTTGCTTCGGTGGCGCGTCGAGCTGCGGTTCGGGCGGGCGGGTATCACTCACGTCGAGGCGGCGGTGGGCGACAGGACGAGCCTCCGGGCGCTGCTCGAGGCGGTCCTCCTCGGCGGCGGCCTCCGCCCGCCTGCCGGCGGCGCTGCTCCCGCTGGCGGCGCTGCTGCTTCCGCAGGCGGCGGCGGCGCGGACGGCGGCGGCGCATGCGGCGGCGGCGCGGCGGCGGAGGGGGAGCGGAGCCTGCTGCGGCACAAGCTGCGCTCCTACTCGCGCGAGGGCGTCGGCGCGCTGCGCGTGCTGCTGCCGCTGCAGCAGCGGCCGGTACGCTGCCCCTCTAGATGCAGGGCCTCACAGATGCAGCCTCCAGATGCAGAGCCTAGATGCAGAGCCATCTGTGACGCACGTCGCCGCAGTGCTGCAGCCAGCGTGCCTTCGCAACCTCACCTCCTCGTATCGCTCCGTGTGCTCACGGCCTCGCCTGGCCACACACTAGGCCAACGACCCTCGCTTCGTCCTGCTCCCGCTCGACGCGAGTCTGGGCGAGTCGCTCCGCTCGCACGTGGTGACCTGCCCTGTCGACGGCTGCACGGAAGGGAGTACCAACCCCCGCCTGAATACTTGACGAATCGCTCTTTAGGTGATCGAGTTCCCGACGTTGCACGTGGCGATGCCTTGCGAGGACGCTGAGTACGCGCTGTTTGGCGGAGAGAGGGAAGGGCCGGCTGGTGGCGCTGCTGCTGGCAGTGGAGGTGGCGGGGCGGTGGTGGGATATTAAATAAATAAATAAAACGGACACCTCTACTAGGAGATGGGTAAAAAGGAACAGGTCCCCGCCCTGCGGTCTTTGTGCAGGGTTCTTTGTGGGTGTGGTCGGCGACTAGCCGGGGTCGTCCTCCCTCGGATGGGGGACTAGCCTACCACTAGCCTCTGGGGGGAGGCGGGGGCCCTAGAGGGTATCCATGCGGGGGGGAGATGGGGTCCCACGGCCCGCCGCAGGCGCCGATTTTTTTGACTTTTTTTTCTTTTTTGCGCGATTTTTTACTTGTTTTCAAGGAATTCTTTAGATGCCTGGATGCCTCTGGGGGGAGGCGAGGGCCCTAGGGGGTACCCATGCGGGGGAGAGATGGGGTCCCCCAAGCCCGCCGCAGGCGCCGATTTTTTGCATTTTTCTTTTTTGCGCGATTTTTTACTTGTTTTCGGGAATGGCGAACTTGCGGCCATGCTATCACGCCTTGCGACAGCCTGTCGGCGCTGCTGACCGTGCCCTGCTGCACAATTGACCACCTGCATAGCTCGCGGCCTTAGTATCCACCATTCAGTGACGACCTGATCGTACGGCCAGTAGGAAGGTGTCCTTCCAGCGCGTGCACGCTTCTGACGCAATGCGCGTCACAAACTGCCTCGGCGACTGGCTGCTGGCACTCTCGAGGCTATGCCTACACAGCCTCGCGCGCATGGGCAGTCAGGAAGGACCATGCACCTTCTCCGGACAGCGCCGGTGCCTAGGCGCAGCACCGCAGCAGCGTCGGCTCGCCGCTGCAGCGTCGTCGCCCCTGCAGCGTCACCGGCGCACAAAGCGCAACTGACCACAGCGCTCACTGCTTCCCATCAGGGTGGGTGCCTAAGCATAACTCCCAAACCCGGCCAGGCGCTCGGTGAGCGTTCCGACTTCCGTCCCCTGTGATCTCCGCCGCCTCCGCCTTGGACGCGAGGAGGTCGGTCTTGCCCAGCTTGTCCGCATTCGTCAGCAGGTAGGGCCCAAAGCAGTCACCGCAGATTGCGTGGTCACTGGCGCAGCACAGCTTGGTGGCCAACCTGGTTTGTGGACCTCCCGCACCTGTCCTGACAGTCCTGACAGAGTCCTGACAGAGTCCTGACAGAGTCCTGACAGAGTCCTGACAGAGTCCTGGCGGGGTCCTGACGGCGCACGGTCTTCACAGTGCTCACAAGTGCCTCCGACGAGACCTCCACCTTCCTTCACTGCAACCCTCCTTCCCCTCCCCCCCAGCAGTGAATGATAGACGCCCAGCCCCCCTTTCGACCGTGCGCGCCCTCTGCGGAATCGTCCTGATGGGGCAGTCCTGACGCAAACTTGAGAGTCCTGACAAGCAAACTTGAGAGTCCTGACAAGCAAACTTGAGAGTCCTGACAGAAACTTGAGAGTCCTGACAGAAACTTAGAGTCCAGACAGACAAAAGAAATCACGCTCACTCTCGCGCCACTCGGCTCGACCATGAAAGCGCACAAGCAAGAGAGGCGCGGCCATGGTGCAGGCAACGTTACAGCCGGCAACGTGCAAGAAGGCAGCAAAGCTCGGCCACGACGTCCATGGCCCGCGCCCCCCCGATTTGCCACCGGCGGCCTGCAGGCCAGCGCCGAGCAGCGGACCGACTGCTGACCGACTGCTGACCGACTGCTGACCGAGGCAGCGCCCACGGCAGCGCCCACAGCAGCGCCCACGGCAGCACCCACGGCAGCACCCACGACAGCGCCCACGGCAGCGCACACGGCTTGGCTGGCCATGTCAGCCGCGCAGGGACCCTCCCGCGGGTCCAACCCGAAGCGCTCGACCGCTCGACAGCGCAAGTCGGCTGACGGAGCGAGCCGCATAGCCCTCCAGTGCTCACCGCAGGATCAGGCCCGACCGGCCCACGCTCACGGCCTGGCCTGCCTGTGGACCAGCAAACTCGTTGGCTGTACGCGAGCAAAGAGCTGCGTGGCTGGGTTGTGAGCATACCGTCCCCGTTGCGCCCTTTCCCTCAGTGGAGGGCCGTCCCTGCCCTCGGGAGTAACTCGACTGTACACCCCTCCCTACTCTCTAGCTAAGGGCTCTGTTCACAGCGGGGGGGCAGTGGTTGTCCTGGCGGAGTCCTGGCGGAGTCCTGACAGAGTCCTGACAGAGTCCTGACGGAGTCCTGACAGAGTCCTGACGGCCTATTTTGGAGGTTTTCAACTTTGAGGTATTGTTACTATGTGAGGGTGAAATGAATGAATCAGTTCTTTGGGACAGTGCAATCCTTTTAATTATTACCTCCAACTCAAAAAAAGTCTGATGTCAAACGGACAACGGGGTCCCTTATGGTGGCCTGTAAGGGTAAGGTGCGGGAGGTCCACAAACCAGGTTGGCCGCGCCCGCAGGAAAATCTACGAGGCAGATGACGCAGCTCATGGCGACCTGCTGTCGACGCGGGGCGGCCCCGAGCCGAGCCCGAGGACGCGTCCATCGCCAGTTTTCTTTTTCGCGACCTGTCGTCATTCGACGGCACGCTTGAGGCGCTGGCGGCCGAGGCGCTCGAGCGCTCGGAGCATCCCGTCGAGCTCAAGCAGCTCGAGGGCCCAACTTCAGAATCGTGCTTTTTTGGTTAGGGACCAAAGCGCGAAGGAGGACCACCCTTGGGTCTCCATGCACCGGTGTGGGAGAATCGCTCCATGCACCGTGGATTCGAGTACCGTGGGCTGTCGATATAGAGTAGCCCTACCCCTCCCGCCGCTTTAGGGCCTCCCCACCCGCTATGTCGTGTACGGCTCTATGGAGCCGGACCGCAAACGAACACAAAATATTCACATCGTGCCCAATCAAATCGCCGGCCCCAGCTCCTACACCAGGTTTCACACAATTTCCTCCTGTCCACATCGGAGTCCTGGCACCACACCATTTCATCACCAGAGAGAGGGGGGTCCGCGTCGAGGCGCAAACAAACAGTGCGCACGTCGCAAGCAAGAGGAATCTCCGCCGGCAAACACTGACATCGGCATTCCCATGGTATCACCCATGGTATTGGCACTGCCTGCCCTGACCATCGCGATTCGGCATTCCCATGGTATCACCCAGGCGGCGGCGGCGGCGGTCCTTGCCCTCGTGGCAGCAGGAGAGGTCGGGTTTAGCTGCGCAGGTGCTGCAAATGGCCGCCGTGGCGGCCGGCGGCAAGCGGTTGCCGTAGTCGGAGGGGGTCCCGGACGTCGCGTTCGAGAGGCTGCACGTCATAGGGCAGGTCATCTTCACTCCTACGACGCACGCCTTGTTGCACGCTGCGTTGGCCGTAAGGTTGGCTGAGTCGCACAGACCAAAGCCTTTCGCTTGCTTGCACGTCGGGACGAAGCCGGCGTCACACGGCGCCAGAGACGGGGCGAAGGTGGGCTCGCGCGCCTTCGGAGTGGGCGTCGCCTCGCGCAAGTCGGAGGGCGCGGGCGCAGCCAAGGCGGCGACGGCGAGAGCGGCCAACATGTACCGGGGTACAGAAGGGTGCAGCGCAAAAAACGCCGAAATTGCAAGTTTATTTCTTTTTTGATGTCAGAACGCCGCGTTTGTCTTGGGGGCGGGCAGAGTGTCTTGTGAGTTTGTGTGTCTGTGTGTCGCCCCTGGGCCGCTGCAAGGAGTTCGGACCGGCTAACGCCAGTCCATGACCACGCAAGCGCGATCGGAGCAGACACAAGCTGCAGAAACACATACTCGAGTACAGAGCGCAAGCAGAAGATGCACGAAGAGGTAGAATCTAGAAGAGGTAGAAAGATGAATGCACGCATCGGCCATGCGCGCGGCAACATGCGCATGCGCGTGCCGCGATGAGGAGACCTTGGCACCGGGGTCACGAGGAACTTGCAAGTCGTGGCCGAGGCGGCGACGGGAGCGGTGCAGAGGTGGATCCAGCTCAATGATGAGGCTACGGCGCGCATAATGAAGAGAGAGGAACACATCGAGTGGCTGAGGAAGCTCTTCGCTGGGTGGAAGGAGGCCCGCCCGGCCTTGAGGGAGTCGCGGAGGAGGCATGGCGGCGGTGGCGGGCGACGCCGAGAACATCAACAAGCAGGCGCGCAATGGGCGTAAAGACTGGCTCAACTCCCCAGCGCGTGCCAATTGGGTCAAGAACAAGCAAGAGGCAAACGGCTTCTTACGCTCGGCCCCAGTGGGTGGGGGGTGCCCGCGCCGCCTAGCTCTGCGGACGGGCCCCTCCACCCTTCATGTAATCATGTAGTCCCCACAATCGCTGACGTGGGATCGCTTGTCATGTGAGAGAGTGCGTTGTGTTCTTGTTAGTATGCGGGTAGGTAGGTAGGTAGGCGGTCTCGCTTTCTCTTTTTTCCTGTACTCGGGTAGTCCGCCGGGCCGCCTGACTTCGCCGAATTCCGACTTCGCCGAATTCCCCGACATGGCGATCCCGATCGACTTTGCGGCGCGGGGCGAGCTGTCTCGTGCGGCGCGCGAGCTTCGCACGTATGCCGCATGTACGAAAACGGCGGTTCAGCTCTTGCCGATGCCTCTCTTTGCCGTCATGTATGCGTACCAGCGGCGTCGTGGGCACGTCCCGCTCTCCAACACACTGCAGCTGGGTGCGATGATCCTGGGCTTCCTCGTGCACGCCTACCTGGTGCTGTCCCGGCGGTTCACAGCGGCTGCGTCAAGCGCGGTGTGCTGGTTACCTCTGCTTCATCAAGGGGTAGCGTTCCTCAGCCTTGCGGTCGACGGCGAGGCCTGCAAGGAGGAGATGGCAGTCAGCTTGGACAGCAGACTACACCTGTGGTGGCTGATGGCCTTGGGGACGCTGCTGCTCGGCGCCGGTCAGGGCGCACAGCGAATCGACCCCATGCACGCCGCTGGGTATATCACCGCCTTCCTGGCACTGCGCGGACTGAACAGCACGCTGTTGTGCGCGCTCACGACCAACCGTTCCGCGCTAACGCTGCTGCTGCCTGCTACCACGATACCATATGTCGTGGGCTGGCTGTTGGCCATCGTCGTTCCGCGTCCCTTCGGTGCTGCGACGGCCGCTCTCCTGGAGCAGCAGGCGCACCTCCTCGGTGCGATCGAGGAGTCGAGGCGCCTGGAGATGCAGCAAGCGTGGATGCTGGTTCCGACGCACAGCTCATCCTCCGAGGATGGAATTACCGACGCCGAGACAGAGTCGAGCAGCGAAGCGCCTCGTGCCTCGGGCCCCTCCCACGCTTCGCTCCCACGGACTCGAGGCCTCGGAGCTCCAGCCGCTGATGCGCTGACGCCGCTTCTGCCGAGCGTGCACCCCAGCAGCAGCCATCAGCCGACCCCAGAAGCACGCGACCCCGGCAGCAGCAGCCACGACTCTCGCAGCGAGCCCTCCGCCGCCACCGTCCCGCACGCAGAGCCTGCCATTTCCGCTGCGCATTTCCGTCCCATCGTGCCTGGCTCCTCTGGCGGCAGCGAGAGCGAGTACTTCAGCGACAAGGTTTCGTGTGGCATGTCAGCGTGGTCCTCGGAATCAGGAGAGACCCATAGGCAAGGCATAGGTTACGTTGGCGGGCCTTGAATCAGGAGAGACCCATAGGCAAGGCATAGGTTACGTTGGCGGGCCTTGAATCAGGAGAGACCCATAGGCAAGGCATAGGACCAGCAGCTGCTGCTGCGGCACTGTCAGTTCCTGCTCCTGCTCTGCCCACTCGTCGTCTCTGTCTGCCTCACCTGGGCGTGGCTCGTGGCCCACCTCCAGGACGTGCACGCGCACGGCGACGGCGCGCGCGCCCCGCTCCCCTCGGCCCACTCCTCCGAGAGAGTGGGAGGGCCTTCCCTTCCCGGCTCCGGTGGTTCCTGTGTTAGAGAAAAATCGAAAAAATACTTTCGAGTTTCGACCCGCGACTCTGTCTGGTAAGCCCTAGCCTACTCCGCGTGAACTCCGAGGGACCATCGCCGGCGTCGCCGACGCCGCTGTCCTCGATGCTCTCGTCGGCGAGCCGACGCTGCCGCCTTGCACGGCCTCTATCGTCCGAACTAAGGGGAGCGAGTACTGGCGGTTTGATGGCCGCCTCCACCTCGAGCAGAATACGCTCGATAGCCCCGCTGCGGGCGCAGAGTCGGAGCTGACCTACAAGTCGGGCTGCCCTAACGTCGCAAAGACCTTTTTGACGCGCGGTCCGGAAAGTGCAAGATGCAAGAGACGTGCGCCCCGCTCGTGTTCGGTAGTCAGCTGCTCCAGCTCAATGCTTCGACGCTGCGCGCCTTCTACACGCGCAGCAGGAAGTACGTCTACGTCGTCAAGGGGCTTCGCCTCGAGGCGCCGTACGACGAGTCGCCCTGCTCCGCCGCAACCACGCGGTGGGAATTTGCTGACGGGCCGTGCGACGCTGACTCGCCGCTCGACACGGCGACGCGGGACACGATCGCCAACGCTATCGCGGGCAGCAGCGACACGACCAACCCGTATGTCCGCGATGTGACCGTCGACAGCAGCCGCGAGTGCCTCCCGGAAGACACCGTCGGCGCCTCGCTCACCGTCGACAATGACTGCTGGACGCACGTGCACCCGGACCACTTGGACGTGCGCGACTTCTCGTACTGGGCGCGAGGCACTTGTGCTTCCCTCCTCCGTCCCGTATGTCGGTGACATGTCCACGGCGTGTCCACAGGCGAGCAACCATGAGGGCAACAAAGAGGCCGCAAAGGGTGGACGGCCCAACCCTATCGTCAGCCCCGCCGAGGGCGGCACTTCCACGATCCGCTTCCCTCACCACCATCTCATGACGCAGTGGAGCAAGAACGAGCAGTACATGGGACGGCTCGGCCGGCTTGGAGACGCTGTCGGCTTCGCGTCGCTACCCACGAGCGTCCAGTGGGACGAACGAGGACCGCACCGCGACGGCAGCTCAAGCGGGAGGGAGCGGAGACAGTGGGCAGCGAGCGAAGTGGGTGAGACTGATGATGCTCCTTCGACTTAGGGAGCGGTTCCGCTGCTGGGCGAGCTTCAGGGTGGTGCTCACGCGAAAAGGAATCGACGCAATGTACAAAGCATACAAGAAGAGGAGAAAGAAGAGGAGAGGCGCCAGTGATGACGAAACAGAAGCTAGTGCAGACGAGGGCAGGTCAGACCCGGGGACGGCGGAGGCGGACCAGACGGCATCGACCGCCGAGGGAACGTTGGGAAGAGGCACGAGGAGGGCGGCGACCTCAACCGACTATGGAGGACCAGTCGCCAGACGACGCAGGGCAGACGACGGGGGAGAGTTGGGGCAGACGCGCAGGGCGAGACGAGGGAGGGAGCAGGACGTTGCGGAGATCAGCAGGAGGATGTACGAAGAGATCGTTAGGAGCAGCAGGGACCCGAGGGACCATGTGGAAGACGGCTAGTGCTAGTCCCCCATTACACGCGCGACACGAGGGACTGCGTATCCTCGCCTGCCTCGGGGGAGAATAGCCGCCCTCACCCGCTGGCGTTCATCGAGCTCGGCGGGGCCTGATACGTGTCATTCTGTGCCGGCGCGTATCTTAGCCAAGATACGCGGCCACACGTGCAGACGCGTATAGCGGTACTCGCGCCACACGTGCAGCCGCCTATCTTGGCCAACATAGGCGGCTGCACTCGCAGCCGCGTACCGCGTGACATACACGCCCACGCATGGGGCGCGTATGTTCCCCTAGATAGGCGCCCACACGTGTAGCCGCGTATGTGAACATCCCTCTGTGCACGTGCCAGCCCTACTGTCTGAATTCGCGGAGCGAAGAAAATTTTATACGGAATACGTCCATTTTTGGAGCTTGGAATACGGCGTATTCCATGGAATACGTGGAATACGGGTGGAATACGGGTGGAATACAGGCCTCTGGGAGGTCATTTGGAATACGTGGAAAACGTATTCAGACAGTAGGGTGCCAGCGCGAGTCGCCTTCGCCGACAGGCCGTTTCACGCGCTCACGCGGCGCGTCGGATGGTCCGCCGAGGCCGCCGCAGCCCCGGCGGCGGCGATGGGGGCGGCGGGGCCGAATTTATCAGTCCGTGTGCCAAAACTCACGAGACCTCGATACCGCCGCAGGCACTAACAAAGATCCGAGTCTGGGTGCTGGACGGCGCTCAGTGTGTTCGGGTTGACTGCAACAGCCCGTCGATGCCGTCTCTGAGCCTGACGGGCCTCGGGCAGGTCTGTAAGTGCCTTGACTACTGGTCGACTGCGGAACACGACCCGCGGTGCACCAACCAAATCGGCTGCATGCGGGTGCCCTGTGACGAAGATCCTCAAGGGACGTGGTGCCCCGTGAGCAACCCGGGCTGCAACGGCTCGCACGGCCAGGGGGGCTGGACCTACTGCACCGCGCCCATTGCGCCGCCCGGCGCGCCGCCACCGTCGCCTCCGCCTTCCCCGCCCTCGCCGCCCTCGCCGCCGCCGTCGCCGCCATCGCCGCCGTCGCCACCCTCCACGCCGCCTTCACCTCCGATCCCACCCCGTCTTCCGCCACGGCCGCCGGCGCCGCCGAGCCCGCCGCCAACCCCACCACCGCCGTGCCGCTGCGACGTCCAATGGGATGCGCACCTGTACGATACACGGTGCACAAACCAATTCGGCTGCCCGGCCACGTCCTGCGACGGCGACGACCCGTGGTGTGCGCCCCCTCGTCTCAACACCTCTTCGTCGACACACACATACCCTCCTCTCGCCCCTCATCACTCAACTTCATCGACTCGCCGTTACTAACACACCCAACAGACTACACACTCTCTAACAACCACGACATGCGCACCGAACGCACCCGCGACCTCCCGCCAAATCGCACTCTCAGGTGCGAAGTCGTCTCCGAGGACTGCACGCCCACCGCCACCGTCGGGAAGGTTGCATCTCACTGGTGGTCCTACTGTGTGCCCGACAGCACTTGCGTGAAAGTTCACTTTGGCCTCTTCAATCCTGCCTGCCCGCCGCCGCCCTTTCCACCCGGCAGTGCGCCGCCGCCGCCGCCGCAACCGCTGCCACCGCCCTCCCCGCCGCCGTCGCCGTCGCCTCCGCCCTCGCCGCCCTCGCCGCCTCTGTCGCCGCCGTCGCCGCCGTCGCCACCCTCTCCGCCGCCCTCGCCGCCGCCGCCGCCGCCGCCGCCGCCCTCGCCGCCCTCACCGCCCTCGCCGCCCTTGCCGCCCTCGCCGCCCTCGCCGCCGCCCTTACCACCCTCTCCGCCGAGGTCGCCGCCGCCACCGCCGTCGCCGCCGTTGCCGCCGCCGTTGCCCCCCTCGCCTCCGTCGCCGCCCTCGCCGCCCCCCTCGCCACCGCCGCCGCCATCACCACCGCCGCCGCTACCACCGCCGCCGTCGCTTCCGCCTCCGCCTTCGCCGCCCTCGCCGCCTCCGTCGCCTCCGTCGCCGCCGTCCCCACCCTCTCCGCCACCCTCTCCGCTTCCCTCGCCGCCGTCGCCTCCGTCGCCGCCGTCGCCGCCCTCCCTGCCCTCTCCGCCCTCGCCGCCGCCCTTACCACCCTCTCCGCCGAGGTCGCCGCCGCCACCGCCGTCGCCGCCGTTGCCGCCGCCGTTGCCACCCTCGCCTCCGTCGCCGCCCTCTCCGCCCCCCTCGCCACCCACGCCGCCGCCACCGCCGCCGCCGTCACCACCGCCGCCGTCGCTTCCGCCTCCGCCTTCGCCGCCCTCGCCGCCCTCGCCGCCTCCGTCGCCCTCGTCGCCGCCGTCGCCACCGTCCCTGCCTTCTCCACCGACACCGCCGCCGCCACCGCCCTCTCCGCCGCCGTCGCCGTCGCCTCCGCCTTCGCCGCCCTCGCCGCCTCCGTCGCCGCCCTCGCCGCCGTCGCCGCCGCCGTCGCCGCCGCATCCCCCTGGCAAGGCGCCCATGCCACCGCCTCACCCTCCCGGCAAGGGTCCGAGGCCACCGCCACCTCCCCTGTCGTGCTCCGGCCACGAGAACAGCTACTCAGGCGAAACCATCGCGGGTTACACAGACTCTAGCCTGGTGGCCAACGACGGCAAATGTTGCGACGCCTCGACCAAGGACGACACGACGTGCGGCTTCGAGGTGCGCGGTGCTCTCTGCACCCTCTTTCGCGGGACGAGCTGCACGCTCGCGCCGTCGAGCCGTCGACTCTCCGAAGGGACAAAGGGACCTCCCGACTCGACGCACCTCAAGACACCGCGGTCCTTGCCGCCCCCAAGCAGCCCACCCCCGCTCATCGACCAGAATGGCGATCCTGATGGGCCAGGCCAAAATCCGGAAAGGCGCGACAAACGCTTGAGCGGCCTTGAGGTTGCACTGATGGTGACATGCCTGATCATCTTGCTCCTGTGCTGCTGCATCGTTTGCTACCTTCACCGGCGCAGGCGACGCTGGCATCCTCTAACCAACAACCATCACGTCGAGGCGGCGTCACCGCACACACCGGGCTCGGCTAGCGGCGAGGGCACGCCTTCTCGCTTCAAGTCTCGCCTCAAGACGCCACGCACAGATGGAAGTAGCAGCGACCCTGAGGGCACTCCCAGGTCCCCGGTCTTGAAGACGCCCCGCTCTGACACCCGGATCATCCGCGACCACGAGGAGGTCGCGCCCGCCGACGGGAGCTGGAGCGTCTTGGACGCGGCAGAGGCGCGGCCAGCTCGCAGCTCCCGTGCCTCTAGGCGGGACCGCTCGCCGTGGCGAGAGCGGTTGCGCTTCTCGTGGGGCGGTTACCCTGAGGGTTGCGTCATGAGGATCTAGTTCCTCCCAGGGCAGGTCGGCCCTGTATGCCTGCGTGGCGGCCACATAGTCTGAGGGTATCCTAAAAGTTCGGCCGATTTGGAAAACGCTAAAGCACGGTCGGCCGCGTAGATTTGGGGCAAAACACGACGACAAATAAAGTGGGCCCGCCCGGGGCAAAAGCCAAAACTCTCCCCTGACCCGATCAAAAGCGTAAAAGCACCCGAGGCTCCAGAAACCTAACCCTCATTCTATGGTGGCGGCTCTCTCTGTGTCTTGAGTTGAGATAAAAGGCAGCGTGTCATTGACACACACGAGCGATCACATGCAGATGCACATGTGCATGTGCGTGCGCATGCACATGGTCACAAGTTTGCACGACCGAATTGCGCAGCGTGCCGATCCCCTCCACCGTGCACTCCACCTCGTCGCCATGCTTGAGCCATACGTTTTCTCGTTCTGAATCATTCTACCGGAACATGGTCATGGGGCATGGGCCCTACTGCGAGGAGGGGGAGGGGGGGAGGGGGGTGGAGGGAGAGGGGGGGGGGGGGGAGGGGGAGGGGGGGGCGGCATGGAGGGGGAGAGGAAGAGCAAGGGCGAGAGAGGGCAAGGGACCGGGCGCTGGCATACCAGGGGGGGCAGGGTGGTGGGCGGCGACCGCCGCATACCGTCCTACGGCGGGGACTATCGCTACGCCAGGGAAGACAAGGACGTCGACGTGCAGGGTGCAAGCTGCTGCTGTTCGAGTCGTTTGGTGGGTTCGGGAAGGGGGTCGGCGAGATCCTCCGGAAGGCGGCGAACGTGCTACAGAACAAACTGACGCGGGCCCAGTACCTCGATGAGGTGACTTGGACCACTAAGAATTGGCTGGGGCTGCAGAAGCACAGAAGCAGCGTATCTCAGTCGTTCTTCACACGGCAATCAATCGCAGAGCAGGTTGTGAATGAGCTTGCCTGTGGCGGGGGTGGGCGGGTGCACGGAGCTAAGTGCCTCGCCACCCTCGCAGGAGTCGCTTAGGCGGCTCCCGTGGTGTACCTGTGTTAGTGCCATAGGCGCCAGTCCTGTGCCCAGTGTTGTGCAGTTTATCGCTAGTCCATCGCAGTTTCTGGTTTCAGGGAGCTTTGTTGTAAAATTCAGGTTTCAGCCGCTCCTTAAAAAGAAAAGAAAGCCGGCCAAATTCTCGTTCTGGACGATGCCCCGATCCGGTGCCTTTGCGATCGCGCTTCTCTGCGTTTCGCCGGGCGCGAGCCTAACCCTCAGCAGACAGCCTCTCGTCTCCCGCCCGCACCATGCCTTGGCTCAGCCGCGCTGCTCCGAGCCGGTGGCGACGGAGCGGCGCGAGGAGCACGCGGCACCAGCACGTGAGGATACAGTCCAGGAGCGGCTGCGCCTCTTCTGGCGGCTGGCCGTGCCCTACTTTTCGAACGCGGAGGGCGCGAAGCTGAACTTTGGTCTGATGCTGCTCCTCGTCCTCATCAACAGCGGCATCTCGGTCATCTTTTCGTACGTCGGCCGCGACTTCTACTCGGCGCTCTCAGCAAAGGACCAGGCGCTCTTCCTGGAGAAGACGTCCAACTACGCCGTCGGGCTCGCCGTGGCGACGCCGCTCACTGTCCTCTACAAGTTCCAGCGCCAGCGCCTCGCCCTCAACTGGCGCGCGAGGCGAATGCCGGTGTCGCACCCCGTCCTCCAGGCACCTTCTCGGAACCTTCCCCTAGGCGGGAGTGGATGACCACGGAGCTGTCTCGGCAGTACTGCACCGACAAGGCGCGCCGCAAGCTCGAGACCACTCGAGGCGCCCCCCTCCCTCCCTCCCCTCGCTCGAGCCTTGCCTCCGGTGCAGGCGTACTACAAGCTTGAGATCGACCCCGAGATCGACAACCCGGACCAGCGGCTGACCGAGGACGTGCAGGCCTTCACCAAGGTGGTCACCTCGCCGTCGTCGCCACTGTGTGTCTCTTCTCTTCTGTGCTATGTCTCACTCTTCCTCACGTGGTGCGTCCAAGGTGTCACTCGACTTCTTCATCACGCTGATGACCGCCGCAATCGATCTCGTCTCCTTTTCCGGCATCCTCTACTCCATCTACCCCAACCTCTTCTACGCCATCTTTGTCTACGCCGGCGTCGGGACTCTGGCGGCCGTCAGGCTGGGGCAGGGCCCATTCGGTCACTCGTGAGTCACTCCTAGGTGTCGGCACTCTGACCACCGTCAAGCTCGGCAAGGCGCTCGTCGGGCAAAACGCCGAGCAGCTCCTGCGGGAGGCGAGCCCGAGATTGCGCGAGATGTCTGCCGAGATGGCGGGAGATGGTCCGCGAGTGCGCACGGGTGCCGGAGAGTGCAGGCGAACCTGCGCTACTCGCTCGTGCGGCTGCGCGAGAATGCGGAGTCGATCGCTTTCTACCGCGGAGAGGCGCAGGAGGAGGAGGAGGTAGTCTCGCGACTGGGCGGCGCCGTCGAGAACAAGCGTGCGATCCTCGGCACGCGGCGCAGCCTCGAGTTCTTGACTCATTGACTAGTTGGTTAAGTCAAGCGGCTGAGTACTGAAGGCACGCAGCGCAACCTCGAGTTCTTCACGGTGGGGTACTCGTACCTGATCCAAATCCTGCCCGTGCTCGTCGTGTCGCCGCTCTACTTTGCCGGCTCCGTCGAGCTCGGCGTGATCACCCAGTCGACGGGCGCCTTCAGCCACGCTCCTCGGCGACCTCTCCCTCATGTCGAAGTGAGCTGGTGACTTCAACTCAGGCGCCTTCAACCACGTACTCGGAGACCTCTCCATCATCGTCAACCAGTTCGAGGGACCGCTCCTCCGCCTCGCGCAGCGCGCACCTCTGCTTTTCTTTTTCCGGACGCCTCCTTCCTTTTCTAGGCCTCTCCTCCTTCTCGGCCGGCCTCGGCCGCCTCGCCACCTTCGTGGACCGCATGGAGGCGTACCAGGGCCCCTCCTCCTCCTCCTCCTCGCCAGCCACTTTCCAGCTGGCCGAAGCAGCGGCCTCGGCCGAGGCGGCCGCGTGGCATCCCCCTCCCTGCGGCACGCTGCGAGCGGCGTCTCTTCACACCTTCAGGCTGTGGACAGGCGGGCGGAGGCACCCCCTCCCTCTGGCACGCGCTTCGGTACGGCCGCAGCAGGCCCCGCCCTGCCGCCCTCCCCTCGGGTTCTTCTCGGACCCTTCTCGGACCCTTCGCCGCCAGGTTCGGCCGCAGAGGCCCGCCCGCAGGACCGGAGGCGGGCGCCGCGGCGCAGACCGCTGCGGGGGGGGGCGAGGCGCCCTCCGCGGCGGAGAGACCACCCGAGATCGGCCGAGATGCGCGAGATCACCCGAGATTGCGCGAGATTAGGCGCCCTCCGCTTGGGAGAGGGTCCTGTATGGCCGCGGAGGCGCGCCCCCGCCGCCTCCCCGGAGGAGGAAGGGTGAGCTGCGGCTGGAGGGTGTCGTCGCGCCGACGCGCGGTGGCGTCCGCAACGCCGAAGGGGGGCTTGTCCCGGGCGGGGGCGTGTTGGCCGTCCGCCAGCTCTCGCTGTCTACGCCGGACGGCGCCGCCTCTCCTCCCCGGGCGCTGGTCCAAGAGACGTCCGACGCTGTCCGAGGTTGTCCGAGATTGCACGGGGCGTAGGCTCGCGCCGCCTCTTCTCGAACGTGTCTGTGGACGTGCAGCCGGGGCGGCATCTCCTCGTGATGGGCAACTCCGGCACCGGCAAGTCGTCGATGCTGCGCGCCGTCGCGGGGCTGCGGGACAAGCGGCTGAGAACGGCGCCTCTTTCACAGGTCCCCCGCGGTGCACAGGCGCGCCGTCGCGGGGCTGTGGGACCGCGGTTCGGGCGACATCGCTCGCCCGCACACCGCCGACACGATGTTCCTGCCGCAGCGGCCGTACTGCACGCTCGGCTCGCTGCGGCAGCAGCTGGTGTACGCGAGGACTGTCGACGAGTGGAGAGCTGTGAATAGAGAGCTGTGAATAGGCAGCAGCTGGTGTACCCGAGGACTGTCGACGAGTGGGCGAGGGGGAGCAGCCTCGGCACGGACGGGAGCTTGCTCGACGCCCTCGCGACGGCGCAGCTCACCCGGCTCTGGGGGGGAGGCAAACACTGGCTCGCGACGAGTGGGTGAGGGTGGGGGAGTGAGAGTGGATAGGTGCAGCTCGACCGGCTGGCGGAGCGAGGTGTCGAGGGGCTCGACGCGGTGCGCGACTGGGGCGACGAGCTCAGCTTGGGCGAGCAGCAGCGGCTCGCCTTCGCGCGCGTGCTCGTCAGCAAGCCAAGGCTCGCCATCCTGGACGAGGCGACGTCGGCGCTCGACCTCAACAACGAGGCGATCATGTACAAGGCGACCGCAAGCGCCGGCAGCCGCCCACGTCTTTCATTCGTGACTCAATGAGAAGTACTCACCAAAGGCGCTCGCGGCGGTGCCCGGCATCACCTACGTCTCGGTGGGGCACCGGCCGTCGCTGCTCTCCTTCCACGCGTCGCGGCTGCGGCTGCTCGGGGCGGGCCACTCGCCCTGCTTCGAGGTGGAGGACCTCGCCGAGGAGCCGGCGGAGGAGGCGGCGGCGGCGGGTGCCAGCGGCCTGGCTGCGCGGCGGTAGCGTGAGACGGCGGCGTGAGATCGGGGCGAGGTTTAAGAAGCTGCGGCCACAGGGAAGGGGCGACCACTTAGATTTCAGGGCAAGAGGTCTCTATTAGAAAACTGCAGACTCTTGATGCAATATGTTCCACTCTTTCGGCTGACTCAAAGTCAGTGACTCGGGTGACTCTCTCGCGCTGAGACTGTGTGGTGTCTGTGCGCGCTGCGCAGCGTTTTTTTTCTTTTCAGTCGGACAATCCGACCCGAGAGGGCCCACATCGGCCGCTCTACTCATCCTCATTGTCGCTCCACTCTTCCTCCGAGATCGCATTGGTCCATGGTCGCCCCTGCCCCATTGAGGGGCGGCTCGTTCGCCCACGCCTCGAGCTTCTTGGGCAGCAACTGCGAACTGGTTCGGAGGACGGAGCGGCCGCACATTGCTCGGTACCCCCCTGCACATCTAAAGCCATCCCTGCTGCTAGGGGGGGGGGCTGACCCCCCCAGCAGCAGAGCGCTGCTGCTGGGGGGGGGGGGGGGTCCCGACCCCCAGCAGCAGAGCGCACGGACCCAGCTCTCCCGCCTCTTCGCCCGCGCCGCCCCCCCTCCACCCTGCTCGGCTCGTGTTTGAGCGTACGCTCGAGGCGGTTGTGTTCACCGCGCCTTCGAGCCCGGTTGGCAGTAGGAGGGCCCGCCGGTGAGACCGCTGATTTTGGTGCCGACCATACACCTAGAGCACTTGGAGCACTTGGAGTGCAGTCATTAACCTCACATCCAGGGCCGGGGAGCTCAGAAGCGCACCCAGCGGGCCGGATGATCGGGATCGGGCTACGGGCTAGAGAGCCCTGACCCCTAGCTAGGGGGGGTGCTAGAGAGACAAACATGAATTTGGAGCACTTGGAGTGCAGTCATTAACCTCACATCCAGGGCCGGGGAGCTCAGAAGCGCACCCAGCGGGCCGGATGATCGGGATCGGGCTACGGGCTAGAGAGCCCTGACCCCTAGCTAGGGGGGGTGCGCGTTCGCAGGGCAAGGGCTGTAAAGTAAACACGGGTCTCCGAGGGTTAGCTCCGCGCTCCAGGTTTCCCCTAGCAGCAGAACGCCCCCTCTACTCGGAGCTTGTAACACTCGACACGGACTCGACGCCCATCCACACCCGGCACCTGGGCACACCGGGCCCCTCTTCGAGGTCTCCCAACTTTCACTCCGGGGCGTCTTCCCCCACCTCTCGGTCCTTCCTCCTGGCCGCATCCCGATAGTTGTGCGACGGGCGCGGGGCCCGACCTCCCCTCCTAGCCTTTTTCGGCTGCGGCCCCGCCGCCGTCTCGTCTTCTCTGCCTGATCCTGTTGACTCCGCCTCCGGCGATCCCACGCCCGACTCCCCGGGTGAGGGCGGCGGCATCACTCGTCGCCACTCCTCTCCGGAAGGTCGGGCCGGCTCTCCCCGGTCAGCGAGTCGCGCCCGCGCCCGTGGCCTCTCTATCGTCCTCGGCTCGCCCTCCCCTTCATCCTGCTCCTCACTAAACTCGGGAAGGCGCGGTCCCTTTTGTCGTGAGTCACGGCGGTCTATCCAACGCCGCGACGGGTCTACCCCTGGTGGGCTCACACGGCCCGGTTCCACTCGCAGAGGCCGAGTCAGCTCGACTCTCACCTCCTCCGAAAGTTGACCCCAAGCCCCCCCCGGGGCCCTCCGGCCACGGCCCTCCGGTTCGCCGGCGGGTCCGTTATCGTATTGCAGCGACTCCCCTCCCCCATCTCCTCCTCCCGGGCACACCAGCCTCCGGCGGGGCGGTCCCGGGCCCCCCAGGTTATTCCGAGCGGGTCCATACGGCGGCGGCCCCGCCGGTGGCGGGGGTGGAGGCGGTGGCAGGGGCGGCGGGCACGGTGGCGGCCCTCGCGGCCAAAACGCCTGGTATGGAGCCGCTGGGGCGGCCCCACGACCCTGCAGCCGTTCCAGTGGTGGGGGCGGAAGTGGCAGTGCGGGTGGCGGAAACGATGGCGGCACTGGCGGCCGCACCGCCTGGTGTGGGGCCTCAGGGGCGGCTCGTTCGCCCACGCCTCGAGCTTCTTGGGCAGCAACTGCGAACCGGTTCGGAGGACGGAGCGGCCGCACATTGCTCGGTACCCCCCTGCACATCTAAAGCCATCCCTGCTGCTAGGGGGGGGGGTCTGACCCCCCCAGCAGCAGAGCGCTGCTGCTGGGGGGGGGGGTCCCGACCCCCAGCAGCAGAGCGCACGGACCCAGCTCTCCCGCCTCTTCGCCCGCGCCGCCCCCCCTCCACCCTGCTCGGCTCGTGTTTGAGCGTACGCTCGAGGCGGTTGTGTTCACCGCGCCTTCGAGCCCGGTTGGCAGTAGGAGGGCCCGCCGGTGAGACCACTGATTTTGGTGCCGACCATACACCTACAGAGAAAATTCTCGCCAATTATTTTACCCGACAAATTTGGCAATGGAATATGGCCGTCGCATTGCGCACTCGCAGGACTGAGGCCATGCACGACTCCGGCATGTTCTTCGTCAACGAGGCCATCGAGCGGCAGTCGGAGTATGTCCTCGCCTGCCTCGATGACCAGGAGCTCCTCAAAGCCACTTCGCAGTGGATGTTTGAGGCTGACATCTTCCGTGCGGCCATGGGTCCGGAGTTGTGCGTTTATGTAAGAGAGACGTGAGAAACAACGTGGGGGGCGAGCGAGCGCCTGCGTGCGCGCGGCCGATATGCCACCACGCAAGCGCGCTCGCGCCGACGCGGCCGCTGCCTCGTCGGCACCATTGGTCGCTCTCAAAACGTCGCACGACGTGGACAATCCGCAACTCCAGGCGGAGGCTGCGATGTGGCGCGCGGGCGAGCTGTGCGATCTCACGGTGACGGTCGACGGCTCCGCGTTTGCCGTGCACAAGCTCAAGCTCGCGGCAGCGTCGGACTACTTCCGCGCCCTGCTGCCCGGCGACCGCTTCGCCGACAGCGCCGAGCACCAGCTCAAGGACATGAAGGCGTCGGTCTTCGAAGGCGTGCTTTCCTTCATCTACGAGGGCAGCTGCAACGTTCCCGAGGAGCTGCTGGTGCCTCTGCTCGAGGCGGCGTCGCGTCTGCAGGTGGCACCGCTGGCCGAGGCGCTCACGGCGGCGCTCAAGGAGCGCATCTCCGTGGCAAACGCGCTGAGCACGTGGATCTTTGCGGACCGCGCCAGCCTGCCCGAGCTGGCGGCCACGGCCCGGCAGCACACGCTCAAGCACTTTGCGGACGTCGCGGCGACCGACGACTTTGTGCAGCTGAGCCACGAGATGCTCTCTGCGCTGCTCGCCAGTGACGAGGTCGAGGCCGACGAGGCCGCCGTCTTCACCGCGCTGGTCCGCTGGCTGCGCGCGCAGGCGCCGGCGGTGCGGGAGGAGAGCACGGTCGCCGCGCTGCTCGAACACGTTCGCTTCTCGACGATGAGCGCCGACTTTCTCACCGAGCACGTGGAGACCGAGCCGCTCATGAACACGGCCGCCGCGTTCAAGGTGCTCGCCCAGGCGATGAAGGAAAAGTCCTTTGGCGCCGCCACGCCGCGCACCACGCCCCGAACCGGCGGGCCGCTCAACCCCAAGTGGGTGCTCGAGGGCCACGATGCAGCGAACGTCTCGGCCGCTGGCGAGACGATGACCACGCAGAAGGGTCTCGTGCGCGTCGACACGCTGATCGCTTCGGGCACCTACGAGGTCGTCTTCAAACTGACCGAGGACGGCGCCGATCTCTCGGCTGCAGTTTCGGGCTTCGGCATCGTCAGAGACAATTGCGACCGCCTTGAGAGCAACTCCAATGGCATGCCTAATGTCTGGTGGCTGCGTCGCTTCCATAGGATGGTGTACAGCGAGAACCACAAGGAGGGGTTGACACCGCGTGGCTACGAGTTCCCCATTGGCGCGGAGGCGCGCATGCTCGTGGACATGGCGGCGGGGCAGGTGACCTTCTTCATCGACGGCGTGGAGGTGCCACACAAGGCAAAGGGCATCACTGGGCCCGTGTATCCGTGCGCCTTGAGCTACGGCCGCAAGGTGTCCGTGTCCATCGTGAGCGTGCGTCGCCTCAAGCTGTGACCTGTGACGAGGTGCGCGTGGGCTGTTGCCTTCGCCGGCTCTGCGGACGGTGCCGCACACCCGCACAGAGAGAGCCGGCCATCATGCATGCAAAGGTGGCACAGCGCATGTCCATCCCATCGGATGGGAGGTGGCGCAAAGCCGTAGTGGACGACGGACGCGTCGCGGTGGGCGATGCGGATGGCGAGGATCACCGGGCGCAGCGGCAGGGCACGCCGGTCCCGACGCAGCGGCAGCGCACGACGGTCCCGAAGCAGGGCAGCGCACGACGGTCCCGACGAACGGAGGGGCGCGATATGTTTCCGCGTTAGCGCGAATGCCACATATAGGTGGTCTTACATACTTACAGCAACCGTACACACAACCCCCGGCCGGGCCGTGCACCGGGCCGGGCCGTCACATACTAACTGTTCCGATCCCCGTTTCTCAAGTGTCAAGAGAATGGCCCCGTCACGGCGGCAGGACTTTGCCGGGGTTGAGTATGCCCTTCGGGTCGAGCAGCCGCTTCATGCCGCGCATGACCTCGATGACCGGCCCGCGCTTGGCGAGGTGCAGCACGCCCGGCTTCATCGCGCCAATGCCGTGCTCGGCCGAGATGGAGCCGTTACACCGCTACGCCCTCGTGGCTGTTCGATCCCGATGGGCGTGCTCGAAGCGTCCCGGCGTGGTCACGTTGAGGTCGTACTTGTAGACGCGACCCTCACGCGCGAGGGCGCCCGT